TCTTTCCCTCTCACCCTGAGCCACTATGACAGCTTGCTGTGGAGAGCCAAGTTTGCTTTACCAAGGGGAAGATACGCCATTGTTCTCTGCAGAGAGGCCAGACCGTTTTCCTTCTTTTCTAAGGTCTCTCGCACTTGTTTGTCGCTCTGACTTTATGCAAGATGCTGCCCAGGGCTGCTGGATCCTGAAGCAATCTCTTGGGTGGTGTTGGCATATGGTAAGAAGTGACTTCTCCCGCTGTCCTTTGGTTTATATCCACCTCCAGCGCAGGTGATGCCTGGCCCTGTGGCACACGCGTCTTTTGTGTAATAGATTTCAAGGCTGCATTTGGATAGCTGTTATTTCACAACGTTGGTCAGTGATACGCAGGCTGCTTGGGTGTGTTTGTGTGGCTCAGTGCAGTGCTTAGCCCTGCTCCCCATGCAGTCAAGCATATCTTAGCTACCAGGGTAATCATTGTTATTGGAATTCGCTGAAGAAATTTATGATCCATGTGATTACTTCCACAAAACAAAACAATAGAAAACAAATAAAAGTCATGAGAATGTTAATTTTAAAAAGTTACAGTAAGGTCTTTTGCTACAAGGGAAGGGTAGAGACACCTGTAGCCTCTGTCGGGAGGTTGGGGTGGAGGGGGAGAGGGGCTCATCCACAGGGGCCCAATTTAGGGACAAGTACAGCAGATTATTTTTAAACTTACCCAGGACCCCAGTGAGGAATGGGCAAGGTGTTGCTGTTCTTGGCCAGGACTCTGATTTTTGTCCCACAACATCCTGTTCTTGTCTCTCATGCAGTTGCATTTATTTAACGCCATTTCTCCTGGTTTGTTTTAATTTTCTGCCAAATGGAAGGGCTAAATAAAACACTGTCCTAAACCTGGAGCTTGGATGGCAAAAGGACGCAGCTAATTGGGACTGGTGGGGACAGTGGCTGGGACAAGTCTGGCAGGAGGGATGGCATGGCTGCGGGGTTGTGGTTACTCTTCCCATTGCGTGGCAGCGGCTCCCACTGGCGCTTGCCAGGAGCTGTTGCATGGTGGTCGCAGGGAGGAAGGCACATTGTATCACCTGCACGTTGTATCACCTGCACATTGTATTACCCGCAGCCATCATACAGACACAACTGCTCACCCCTGTGGTCCTGATGGCTTCTCCCCATCCCAAACACCCATGCAAAAACCTGATATCTGAGAAGATGCAGTGAAAAGTGCACAAACACGTGTCTACCTTCACATAGCTGGCTCTGGTTGAGCTGTACTGGCTCTGGAGTTTCTGATTCATGGGATCTTCTGAGACTCTGGGGACCGGAGCAGTGTGTTGAACTTGGAAGTGACATATAAAACTTCTTTATTGAGTATTTGTTCAAATTTTGCATTTCAGTCCAAAGGTACCAGCAGGTGGGTTACGAGCATGTTCCACGTTTGACTAGGCTGCTGGTTTCTGGTGGTGTTAAGTGCCACACGGTCCTAAGAAGAGAAGGCTAAAGGACACATTCATTACTGTTATGCTACCTAATGTGACCGCAGCTGGGTGCTCTGTGCAGTGAACAGTGGCAGTGTAGTGACAGTGGCTTTGGAGAGGGGCCCAGGGAAGATGTGAAATCTCTGTCCTGGGAGATTTCCACACCTAGGCTGGACATGGCCTATGTCAAAACTTTGAGCAGGGTTTTGGAGCAGGTAACCTACTAAGGCTCCATCCAACTTAAATTACTTTGCAGTTACAGCATCCATGTTTAAAAAAAATTAGATGGCAAATAATTTGCATCCCCCTCCCACCTGCCAAGATCCAAAGCTGGCTGAAATTGACTCTGGGTCTGTCCCACTGCGCAGCCAGCCATCTGATGGCATCTGTTGTCCCTTCTGCCTGTCTGCCCCATTCTCCTGCCTCTCTCCTCGGTTTCCAGCACCCTCCTGCTCTGCGTCCAGCACCGGTGCACAAGGGTGCCTGCATCCTCTCCTGTCACCTGCAGGGGCAGTTTTCTAAAACTATGGCAGTTTGAAACACACCGTGAAATCTCTTTCTTCATCTCTTGGTTCCTGATATTTTTAAGCGCATGCTTTTCAGTTTTTCTGCACATCACAAAGGAAACTTGCAGGAAGCTTACCTTAAAACCAAACAGACTGGTAAACATGAGTTGATAATCCCCAGAGAAAATGCTGCAGAATGGACAACGCAGTGCTGCAGAAGGGATAATGCTGTTCTGCCTGCAGCAGAGGGTCCACCCACCACCTTGAGACTCTGTTTGCAGCTGCCCCTGGGGCTCACCCCATGGGCAAGGGGGCTGTGCCTTTGTCCCACCATCTCAAGGTGGACTGCACCTCCCAGGGCTTGCTGCTGCCTTGTAGCGGCATCATTACTGGGAATCATTCTTCCCTCCTCCCCCGAATCTCTACCTCTCATGGTTTTGGGGGACCTGACCCCTTTTGGGCTACAGCTGCATAAAATGCCATGGCAGTGTGGAGTCAGGTCTTCAGTGAGAGGTGGGCTAACTCTGGCAGAAACCCTTGGTTTGGTATCTTTGTGTCTCAGTGATGCCAGAATTACTAATGAGGGGGCTTACAGTTTCACCCCTTCCTTGCGGCGCGGGCAAGCACCATGCACGTGTGTGCAACATGCTGCTTGTGTGTGCATCCCCGGGTAGCTGATTTGTTGTGGTTTTGAATGGGACGAGGGCTGGTCGCTAAGCAGTGCTGTCAAGAAGTGTAGCTGATGGACCTTGGAATATCTGGTGGAAATCACGAGGCATTCATGCAGCATTCATTCATCTAGCTTAGCTTCACTTATGGCTGTACCATTTGTCTGCCCAAGTGCTGTGATGGTAGTAGCAGGGCTTGAGACTTTCTCCCCCACTTCTCCTTTTCCCCTCCCCTCTCTCATATTTCTTTTCTCTCATTTTCCTTCCTTCCCCCTTCTCTCTCTTTCTTTTTTTTCCCTGCAAGGCTGATGGATATGCAGAGTATGTTAAGAAGCAAGCAATACTGTCACTGAGCTGATGGTGCTCAGTGACTCCTCAAGCTCCTGGCTGGTCTGTACTGCAGGAGCTTGACACCCTGACCACTGAGGCATAAAAAACAGAGAATTGGAAGCCTCAGCCTGACAGGCACCGGAGCATCCCCCAGAGAGGGTCCACGATGTATGTCTGTGTGTGAGTGTGGGGAGGAGGGCAGTGGGGATGGTGGGGGAGGAGAGCAAGGCAGGAGAGGATGAAACAATGAAATGTCAGCCCGTTCCCACCCGCAGCCCTGCCGCAGCGCTGATGAGCATTTAGAAAGTGCTGCTGCCTGCTCAGTGGCGTGCGCAGCATCGGCGCAGGACGGACCGGGTCTGTGCAACCTCAGAACAGGAGAGGGGAGTGGTGGGTGTGAAGGGGAGGGAGGGAAGTGATGGGACAGCTGAAAATGAGGGGTTATCCTGTCCTTGGATGGGTACATGTGCCCTCCCTTGACTGCAACTCTTGCAGGGGTGCAGCAACTCACTGCGAGCTTCGTTCAAAGCCTGAGGTGCTACCAGTGCACGGAGGAGCTGGGCAGGCTCCTCTGCACACCCTGTGCAAACAACCTGCAGTGGGGATTGGGGTCTGTCCTGCTGTCGTGTCTGCCCTGTCCCTCTGTCTGTGCACCGTGCAGCTCCAGGGAAGGATGCTGCAGCGAGACTTGCTCCCATAGGCTTTCGTGTGTTGTGTAGGTCAAGCAGCACAACTGTATTGTGTGACTAAAACAGGGCTAAATCTTCACATTTCTCATTGCCCTATGGAAAGGAAGAGATGAAACCATTGGGGTAGGCAGTGTGCGAGCCCCTCCCCATAGAAGAGGCACCCACAGGATGAAGGGATTTTTGTGTGGCACATGCTGGATGGAGGACCTGGCCATGAGCCTTCAAGTACTGGGAAGGATCATATGATGGGAAAGATCAGCCATGATGTTACCAGCCAGTTTTCTGCCTGTCCACTTGGCAGGCTTGGGCAAGCACCAGTAGGGCAGAACTAGGTCAGAGACTTGCTGGAAGCTGAGGGGATTTGGGAACAGAGGGTGAGCAAGGAGGGCTCTGGCTGGGCAGACAGCCTCAGGTGCGGGAGTGGGGAGGCAGAAGAAGGGACCACAGAGGAGTGGCTGTGTCCTGCTGGAGGGAGCTTGCTCCCTGGCTGGTGGAATGTAATCGGGACACCTTTGCCAGTGGCCGTGGTACCTCGAGTGGCTCCTGACATCTCTTGTAGCTTCACCATCTTCACCATGCCTCACTCTTTTAGAGTAAGCACTATGATGGAGGTAACCTTCAGGTACTGAAGTCAGCTGTCATCCAGGACAGGGAGCAGACAAGAAAAGTAGATGTACTTCACCAAGAAGAAAGGTTTGGAAACAGCTCCATTTTCCATGGCTCATGGTGAAGTAAAACCATTCCTTGGAAGCAGTAATGAAAACCTGCTCTGAGCTTGTGCAGAAATGTGTTCAAAACAGCAAGGAGTGCTGAGCGTGGAAACACTTGCTGCTGCTGGCTTCAGACCTCATCTCATTGTCCTGTCCATGGATGCTGGGTCAGGGGGAACAGAGCAGGTTGAGGCTGGTTGGTACAGTCCTACAGGTCCAAAGGGCTGTGGGGAACAGACAAGGGTTATTAATGGAGACCCCCTGGAGCAAATCAGTGATGGGTGGCTCTTGCCATCAACACGTTCAGCCTGTTTGCTGGCATCCTTCGGTGTAGGTTGAGAGGCAGCTCATTTTTACTGAAGCAGCATCATGTGGAGACCAAGCTACCCTGGACCTGGCCTGAAATTTTGTCACCAACCTGCGTTATTTCTGTGTTGGCAGAAAATACCGTTGCAGGTGACTGCAACGGCTGCCAGGACTGCAGAGCTATCGCAGGTGAGAGCTCCCCCCTGACAGGCAGCACAGTGGGGTCACGCCGCCTTGCCCTTGCTCTCATCATCCCCTCTCCCCTGGGACTAGTGGGTCAGCAACTCACCAAAACCATGTCCTGAGTAAGCAGGCCACTGATGGGCCTAGCGACCCAGATGTGGTCCCCAGGGCAGGTCTGTGGGTTGTGCTGGCTGGGGGTACTGAGCCCAGGGAGGTGGAGATGTGGAGGCAGGGGTCTGCCACTCAGCTGTGATAAAGGCAGCCCCTGGATTTGGGGTGGGGGCTATGCCAGCACCGAGGACCAGAACAGGCAAAGGTCACAGCGAGCATCTTCTGCTGCAGCCTGGCAGCCCTGTCTTCCTCTTGCCATATGAAACCTACTCTTTACCCTGCCATGCTGTGTTATGCATTCATATATTTGTGTACAAGAGAGGGAAAAGGAGGAAGAAAGAGAGGAGGACAGTGGGAAACTGTCTTTCATGGAAGATTTCCTAATAAATCAGAAGCAGTGTTGGTATTTGCATGGTGGTGGAGCTGGGTGCCCTGCCCAGGGTCAGAGCCTCATGGTGCAAACCTCTGTCCTGAAGAGCTTGCAGCTGAAGTATGAAACGGGAGGTGACATGTGAAGAGAACAAGCAGATGGGGAGAGCGGGAACTGGTGAGGAGATAAATAGCAATAACTCTTCGAGCCTTTTCTGTGCCTTTGTCTGGAGGGTTTCAAAGCCATCTGAAACTGATGCAAGCATCCCTCTCCTTGGGTTGTAGTGATGGACAGACATCTGGGACCAAGACAGTGTTCTCCTGGAGAGCCTGGAAGGGTAGCCAGTGTCTAGAGGATTAGCTGGTTCATATTCTTCCAGCGGCAGAGAGCCTGTCTGAGCAGCCCTGTCCTTGTATTGTGTTTCTTGCCCTGAGTGTTGTAGGGCCATGGAGGCAAGGGCCAGTCCCGTTGGTGTGTCCCAGACTCCTCTCCCTCCCTCCTCGCTGCCTTGCTCCTGCAGCACAGGCTGCCTGAGAAAATTCCACCAGCTCAGCAGGCCTGGGCTGCAACGCAAAAAGACTTGTAAAAGATGGCTGCACCCATTTACTTAATAATTCACCCACCCATATAGCCCTTCCTCAAAGAGAGTGGCCAGCAGTGCTTTTACTAAGGCCATCACTGGAGCACAGCATGCACTGAATAGCTCCTTTCCCCCACAACAGTAACTGTGGTCTCAAATCAAATGATCTTTTGTTCTGTCTTTTTCTCTTTAACTTAGGGAGTGAGTTTTCTGGGAGCCCATACAGCCACCCACAATATTCAACGTACAATGACTCCTGGAGGTTTCCCAACCCTGGACTACTGGGTAAGTTGCTGTCCCAGCCTTGGGGGCTCGGTGCAAGCTGTGCCCATTTGCAACCTGGCGGCAATCGCCCACCGCTGGGGTGGTCAGACGCATGGCTGGTGCAGTCCTGAGTCCCCGTGCTCATCCCCTGTCTGGGACTGCACATCTCCAATCGGGGCACACAAATGCTCTTGGTTCTCTTTGCCAGCAAGAAGTCCCATGCGCAAACCTCTGGTATTCCCCTTTCTGCCCCTTAAAATCCTTCCATAGACACTAAGTGTTGCCAGAAGGCAGGATCCTCATTTTTTTGAGGCTGAGGAGTCCTGTTCAGACAAAACTTGGGGCACTTTGTCAGGAGTGCCTGCTTCAGGGAGGCACTGGGTTGCTTACGGCCAAATGCGAGCCCTGTTGTCCCCCATGCTGTTGTTTCTTACTTGTTCAAGCACTTTGCATTTCTCCCCAACCTCAGGTTGCGTTTGCTCCCCAGTTGTGCATTTGCCCACTCCATCCCTCCTGCAAGGGATGGCTGTGCCTGCGCAGCCTCAGTGATGCCAGCATGGTCCCTACAAGCGGTGGGGGGCAGGAGCCCCGTGGCTCATGCAGGATCATGGCCCTCATGTGAAGGATAAACATAATCCATTTTACACCACTGTCAAAAGCTGGCCCACTTTGACCTTATATACATGTAGCATGCAGTAATTAGAATTTTTCCCTGCATAATTTGCATGGATGAGGTAAGTAAAATACCAATTAATTGTCATCTCTCAACACAGGAGTAGCATGCCTTAGAGATTTCCAGATTTATGGATGACAGGGCTGTTATATGTGACCTCCAGCAGAGAAATAATTTTGAATTTTTGTCATACTTTTTTCATCCAGTTTCTTTGTTTTAAGTAATTGAGTCCCCATGTAATTGAGCCACCCAGGCTGTATTCATCATGGTTCTTGTCCTTAAACAAATCCTCGGGGAGCAATAGACAGCCTCTGCCTCCCATGCCATGGTGCTGGTATAATGCCGCTATTTGCCGTGCCACATTTAAGGGTTTGTTAGCGCTTCCATCATAAATCAGCGGACAGATCTCCAGCTAATATGGATGGGCATAGCTGCACAAAGCCAGGGGAGTCCCTGCGCTTAAACCCGCAGTTTCCATGGCCACAGCCGGCAGCACCTGCGGGATTTTGGCTTGGCCGTGTGGGGAAGATGCTTCAGCTGGGGGGAGAGCGTGCGCCACACTTTCTTAATTTCTGATTTTGCAAGTCCTTTGGAAGCAGGAGAGCTGCTTTAGCAAAGCTCTGATGCATGGATGGCCTGGGAAGCCAGGTTTTGGGTGGCTTTTTAAATGTTGCTTGCAAACTGGTAAAGAAAATGGCAGGATATTAAAAATAAATGAAAACCCAGACCCAGGCCTGCCCTTCCTGGTGGAGAGAGGGCTTTTGGTGACGCTCCTGGCCTGCATGCCGTGCTCCTGCCTGCAGGTTCATACCTCCGCGTGGGAGGACGTGCACACTAGAGCCGCACCGGAGCTGCACCAGAGCCAGCCCAGAGCCGGCCTGAAACCATCCCAGAGCTCCGTGCTGCCCCGCAGGGATGGGCAGTGGCCTTTTGACTCTAGCAGCAGCAGGTTGTGCCCAGGTTGTGTCTGCTGCTGGTTTGAGATGATGGGCTCTTATAAGCTCTAAGCTTGCTGGCCAGGGTGCAGGGCAGGATAGGTCCCCGCGGTGCTCCAAAGCCAGTGGAGATGGATGGGTCTAGGTCAGCAGAAAACTTTAAAACAGAGGTTTGTTAGGAGCTGGCCACACTCTGCCAGGACACCTTTTACCTGTGCCATTCTCTTTTTTCCCCATTCCTCCTCTTCTTCTCCTGTACTTTTCGGATGATATGTTTCTGGGGCCAAATTCCATCTCGTCTTTGACTGTGCGGGAGGTGTGCTGTATGAGCACAGCTGAAACAGAGGCATGCTCCCCATGGCAACGCTTGTGTCTCAGGCCAGCAAGGATTTCTACAGCAGTATTTACTCAGCAGCATGCTGTGAACATGTGTTTAAATGAGGCAAGGGTGAGAAGATTTGGATGCTACCATTTTCCTTCAGAAACTGCAGCTTTATTGAAAATGAAATGTTTCACAGTATAATGACAACAATGCTGGCATTTTTTTGCTGGCAAGAGTTGTTAAAATGTATAATCTTAGATTCCTTGCCTTTATGCTCTTCTAAATACTTTGTTTTGATATTTTCAAAATCTTACGTTTCGGTAAACACAGACTCACTGGACAGATAATGTGTATTGCTTTGCATGTGCAATAACACATTGATTTGGAGTTGCAAGACTGGGAGTTTTAATGCATGAAAAAGAAAACAAAACAGGAGTTTTTGTTCTGCAGCAAGTCCTAAGGATGAACTTACCACTCTGGTTCAGCCTGGTCAGAAAACTGGGAGTGCTGCAGTTTTCTGGAGGGGGATCCCCTTGTCTGACCACTGATAGTTTTAAAATACCTGCTCTGCTCTGTTCCTGTCATTGCTGCAGGAACCGCTGAGCTGGTTGAGAGCTGGTGTAGCCTGTAGCTCCCTGTGCTGCTCACATGCCCCATGGGCACCATGTGAGAGCTGGACAGTGAGGTCTTGGTGAGCTGAACCTTGGTATTCCCTTTCATTTCAAGCCACTCAGTCAGAAAAACACCAAAAGCAAAGTAATGGTCGGTTTGGAAAGGCATTTATTAGAAGTCAACATTGTACCACACAGGGCATTGCAAGGTTCCATGATGCAACACCTAGGTGGTGAAGCCCAGCCTGCTTGCCCATGCCAACACAGTGTTGGAGGGCAAGGCCACTGGGCTGGTGCTCCAAGAGACACTGCTAGGTCCAGGTACAGCTGTAGGCCCCAGCAAGAATGTCTCCCTCTTCAGCTGTAGGCTGTGGGTCAGACATTTCTTGTGCCCTGCAGAGATCCTGCTTACCCACAGCTTTGCCTTTATCTCTGTGAGCCTGATCCTACACTCACTTCTCGGCCAGGGTGTCTGCTAACCCCACTGGTAATTCAGGGCAAGTAGGAATCCTGTGGCAGAGCCTTAAAATCCTGCACCAAGTCTCCTTGCACACCCAGAGGCTCCGTGTGAGGAGCCTGAGCACCCGCAGTGGAGAGGAGGTTAATTTAAACTATATCCAGGATGCTTCCACTCTTCTCAGGAGTATACGTGAGTGTGTTCAGTAATTCTCTCCAGAGAGCAAGCTCTGGCAGTATCCGCCTCAAAGCAGAAACCTTGACAAAATTAATCAGGACTGGTACATGGACTGACACAGTTTGTTTTACTAAGTCCCGCTCCCTTCACTGAGATGAAAGTGTAATACTGTAAGCACTTAACAGCGCCTATGTTCAATTAATTCCCTGTGCTGGCAAGAAAGAATTGCACCACAGCAATGACACCAGCCTGAGGCCTGTGAAAGAGGAGCTCAGAAGGAGAGATGCTGTGATTTGCAAGTGGCAGGAAGAAAGGATACTTGGGTTGAAAAATTATTTGGGGGGGGTGGGGAAATAAAGAGAATAGGAATAGAAAGAGCTGAGAACGGTGAAAAGACTGTGGTCGTTAGTCCCTGGTCTTTGTCCTGTGAGTATGGAGCAGCAGGAAAAGATGTGAGCCAGTGTCTCCACGGGAAGGCAGGATGATGCTCTTTGCATGCAGGTGGTGGGGAACGGCTCTCTGGCCCCAGCAGAGCACCAGCTGCTCTCCATCGTCCCTGAGCCTGCTCTGCCCTTGCTCTGGTGCTCCCCGCTCCTCTGCAGCAGGCAACCCACTCACGTCTGCCCCAGCTGGCGTGGGAACTGATGCAAATGGGTGACCATGCTCCCTCCTCTCCAGGGCAGTCCTGAACACCATGGCCCGTAGCTCTTGTGGAAAGGGAGACAACCAGGCTGCAGGGTGGTCAACAGAAGCATGGGCAGAAGAAGTCAGTTAGTTCCCTGCTGCAGCTCTGCAGCATCTTCCTGGTCTCCCACCCTGTCATCGGCCCCCAGTGGCACCCACACCCAGCTTTGCGGCAGGGGCACGACAGCTCTGCTGTGGTGGCTCAGTTCCGCCCCAACCATGGCTGGAGTGAGGACAGACCCCGAGTTTCAGAGGGATGTGCTGGGAAGATGATGCAAACCTTGGCTGCTTGTGTGGCATCTGGCTCAGTGGCTGTAGCGGGTGTCCCCATCTCAAAGCCAGAAGAGGAGATGGAGAAAGGGGCATCTTTTTTTTTTTTTTCTTTCCCCCACTGTGCTGTGAAAGACCTGGAAGTGCTACAGTACAGGAATGCACATAGAGGTGTATGTACAAGCGCACGGGAAGCAAGCACGTGCGCGCCTGGGGCTCAGTCCGTCACTGTCAGCACATCCTGGTGCACGTGCCAGCATAGAGTCAGCTCAACACACGCACGCTAAGAGCGGGTAACAGCAACACAGTCTAATGAAGAAAAACGATTCAATTTCGTGCTGGCTTGTTGCAATAACTTCTTTACCATTTTTGCTCATCGCATTCAACTTGACACTGCTCACGGCAGGTTTCATTTGATGCGGTGTCCCTGCTCCTGCCCGGACGTGGTCCCTGCACGCTGGCTGGGAGGGTTTGCTTGCACTGTTGCGGTGCCACAGCTGCTGGTGCCAGCATGGCGTCGTGCGAGGGCAGGGCTTGGAGCCAGTCAATTAGGATTAGATTCAGTTCTTCTGTGGGCTTCTGTGAAAAGATTAGAGAACAAGTAGGTACCAGAAATGACTGTGTCAAGAAATAAATTGATGATAGTATGAATTAGAAAGGAAAAACAACAGAAGGACGGACAAGTCTGTTCTGGATGGGGGCATAGTGACAGGGAGGAAGAGTGAATGCTTTGTGATGTGATGTTTTCATTTTTCACTTTAAATACAAGGTTTTTTGATTTCACTGCTGATAGGCAAACTGGAAAAATCAAACTCAGAAGGAGTGTAAGGCCTTTGGAAAGCGTGAGAGAGAAATATTGTGCTTTGGTAGCTGCACTGAGTCAGAACAGCAGTGGAGGAAGAGGGAGGGGGAAAGTGAAGGCCCTGACCCCAAAAAGACCCCTTTTCCCTCAAAATCTCGGGGAGCACTGCATCTGGCTCTGGTGGGACTTGTGTCACTCTGTGGGTCAGGATGAACTTGCTTGGTGCCTCTGGATCCCTTCTCTGGACTTCCCACCCCTCTGCCTGAGCTGAGCTGCTGTGGCTGGGTGTTGGTGCCAGTGCCGGCAAGAACCGGAGTCTCTGCTGGCAGTCATGCCTGGGAGCCAGGCACCACCACTCCCTGCTCCCCATTGACCTCCTGGTGCTGCGGTGGGTGAGGACAGCAGTTGCACCCAGCTCTTCATGAGCCTACAAGGTGTTTTACCCCAAGGTGCTGCCTGCCCTGCAGCAGGAGATGGTCCCCAAGGACTTCCAGGCAGCAGGAGTGGCTGTGATGGGACACGGACTGACAAACTGGGCACCCCTGAGAGTGTGTTCTCCTGTTCACTGGCTACAGAGAACATCCCCCAGACCCCAGCTAGACAGGGCATGCACATTTCAAAGTCTGGTGGGCTGTTCAGTTTGCCTTTGCTCATTCAAGACTGCCTCATTTGGCTGAGGAGGGCTTCCGTGGTTTTAATTGCTTGAGTTTGGCTGGGATACGCCTATATGGCAGCAGTTTATTTTAGGCTACCCATGAGAATGGTGTTCAATGACCTTGTGAAACTTTCTAGTATTCTCCTCCCTGATACATGGTTCCTGAGGCTGGGGCTTGTTAACCTGATGTCCATCCAGCCCAGGATAGCAGTCGTGGTGCCCTCAGCAGATAACGCAAGGCTGTCAGCTCTGCACTTATGCAAGTGTAAATAAGATGATGACCCTCTGAAGGGACCTGCTTTGCCTCCATCGATTATGGCTTAAAATACTTACCTTTTAGTTAATAAACCTAAGTGAGATGGGCTCCTACCTAAAAAGTGCTGCAAACATCTTTGTGAATACTTAGCCTGGCCAGTGATTTCATGGACTGTCCTGAATTACTCTTGTGTATGGTAAGGCTACCGTTATAGACAACTGGGACCACAGTCCTGAAGCTTGGTTTATCTTCTTTAAACCCAGCCCTCTGCAGCAGTTTGCACGATATTTAAGTTGGGATGCCTGAGGCACTGAGGATGATGCTGAGGACAACACAGACCCCACTGTGTAGAAGCTCCCGTGCTGTTGCAGCACTGACTGATGCAGAAGTCACATTGCTGTAGCCAAATGCCATCATTCCTGACCCATCGGGGTTGCAGCAGCAGAGTATCATGTACTTTGGTAGGACTCTGATCATGAGAAACAAGTTTCTTCTCCATGGCTGTGCTGAGGAGCGCATTGCATGTACCATGTAATAGCAGATGTTGGCTGAGCTCCATTTTTTGGATGAGTTGACTTGTGCTCCCTTGGAAATGAGCAGCATGAGGCTGGCAATGAAGCCTGAGCTGATTTCCTGACATGGCACTCAGGATGAAAGCAGCCTAGAAGAAACAGGTGGGCTTGCCTGTGAGATGCATCCTGGTGGATCCACAACAGTGAGGCAGGGTAGAAGAGCCCATCCTTGCAAGGAGGTGTTTCAGTTGGTGGGGCTGTCTCCTTGGGGTGTCCTCTTGGACAGCACAGCTTATTCACCAGCCCAGGAAACCACTCCAGGCAGCTCACTGAGGCTGGTTTGGGAAGAAAGTGGAGAAAATCCTGCATGTTGCAATTATACCACCCTCTTCAGCCGACGGTTAACAGTAAATGTCTGTGGACTTCATCTTAGAGGCTGGTGATGGGATTCTCACTCTGTGCTCAGGCTTTTGAGCCATCAGCCCTCAAGTAATCACTCAAGTTGTTCTGAAAAGCACAGCCTTCAGTTGGAGGCTGTGTAAGAGGAGGGGAGGCCAGGAGGTTCTCCAGCCTACCAAGCAGAGGCTCCTTGGGTCAGCGCTCAGGGGAGAGCTGGTGACTGGCAGCACAGGGCATGCTGTCTGGGTTCTCCTTCCCGCTCCAGAGGGTGTTCCGGGGCCGTGGTGGTGGAACAGCTGGGGCACTGCCACGCTCAGCCTGCACCCAGCTGCCGGGCAGCTGTCGGATCTGCTGGAGCAGGGTTTGCTAGAGTCTGGGGTGGGAAGCAATGGCTGGAAAACAGACCTTTGGCTTTGCTGCTACCAATGCTTTGCCTGACCGACGTCTGGTGGCACCACCTTCTCCTAGAGAGGCCTGCTCCACTGCCTCACTGAAGCTGCAGAAGTTACCCCCTCTGTGACAAGTCATGTCCCTGGCCATTAGACCATCAGCCATGGCTGCCAGGCCACTGTCCCAAGTGGGGTAAAGGCAGGGAGTTCAGAATGGCCGGCAGCTCTCAGACAGGGTCACTCGTGAAAACAGTGACAGCCCAACCCTCTCCAGAGCCGTTCCTTGCATTGGCTCTTTGTCGCTCATCCAAACCTGCCTGGGAGTCTCAGACACATGTCCAAGTCCTCCCAAGGGGCTTCTTCCACACCGTGGCATGTCTTGCATCTCATGCATGTGAAACTGCTGGTGACTTGGAGACCATGCTAGTAGCGCCTTGAAAAATGTTTTGCCGGACTCTTTTTTTACACCAAATTAGAGTTGGTTACCTCTCCAGCACACTTGGACGGTATTTAATAGCTGGTGCTGTCTGGACAGATTAGTATCGCTCTGGATACATCTGAAGTCAAAGACTCCTCCTCATCCAAGGAAATGGTCCAGGTTCCAAGTGATACTTTGGTGATCACCCAATCTACCAGCACTTAGCCCTGCAGGGCAGGAAAGTCATTGCTGATATTTTTCAGGCCTTGTCTTTGCAGATGAGTGCCTCGGCATTCATCAATGTCCAAGGCTTTGAGCCTCGTCTGCATAGTTTATTCAAGTGTGTAATGCATGTACTCAATCAAAAAATAGAGCATAAATTTGATCAGTTTGATGCTTAAGTGTCCATTTCAAAAGCTGTGATATGGAGTATCACATACTTTGTTGAGGCATTATTTGCTGGAGGTAGTTGTAAACTACTTTCTGAGTTCAGATTTGTTACCAAGTGAAAGAGAAAGTCACCAATATTTTCTGAAGACAATTTCTCCCTTCAGCAAAGGTATTGGATGCCAAAGGACTTTCCCTGGCCAGGCAGAGGCTGGCACAGTGTTGTGATGCCAAATCAGATCTGGTAGCACTGACTTGGTGTTTCTGTCTGAAGCTCCAAGGTCACTGCCAGAGCTAAGCAAAATCTGGGGGGAGTTATTCCCTGAAAAGTAGTTTGGGAAAAAGGGGTATTGTTGAGTCCAGTGAAATATGTTGAATGCTTTGGGGTTCAACCTTCTTCTCCTTCCAAAAGGAGGGAAAAAATACATCAAAGAAGTCAGGGTGTTGTAATATGTTGGGGCTGGAACTTTTTGACCTTCCACTGAAAAGTAATCCACTTTTTGGGGGAAGTAAATGAAACTAATGTTTTGAGTGGAGGAAGGGAACCAGGTACCCTACAGCCGGCAGAAATGCAAAGCATAGCACCATTCTCATGCAGAATGCACGAATGTGATTTTTATTCTAATTACCTGACCTTTATTACTGAGAGTCTGAGCTCAGGCTGGAGAGCTCTCTGCCGCCCATGTCGGCACGCTGCAAGCTGGCACCTTTCCACCTTTGTCTTCCTCACGGTCGTCTCTTCTCTTGCAGGCTCACCGTACTACTACAGTGCTGCAGCCCGCGGTGCAGCCCCACCAGCGGCCGCGGCTGCCTACGACCGCCACTGACGCCAGAGCCCAGGGCGCCAGCACTGACTGCATGCACCGCCTGGGACAACTGCGACGAGTCACCTTGCTGCAACCACACCAGCCATGCTGCAAGGGAAGGAGAAAGTACCTAGTAGGAATGTGCTAATTGAAATTTTGCTCTTTAAACTTGGTGAACTGATTATTGTTGTATTCTTAAAGCTGGTCGTGTTGATTGGGTCTGAAATCAAACAAAGAAACAGGAGGAAGCGGTTCTCCTGACGCTCCGTGTGATCAAAAACGCGCAGTAGCTTCATGTCTTTTGCAGCCGGCTGGCTACTGCTTTAATCGCCTGTGGGTGCCACGGCTGTATCTGGGGATAAGGAAGAGATGTGAGCAGCCCTCCTTGGGGCGGCTTCCTCTTGCTGCACACTGAAACAGGCTGTGAGACTCAAGGCAATTTTCTTTTTTTTGTTTGTTTTTTGGGTTTTTTTGTGGCAAAGAAAAAAAAATCAGTCTGCTCAATTTTACACAAGCACCACTGTAAATACTTGCTTGTTTGTATTCCTATAAGAATGGCTTAAGCATAAGCAGCAACATTGTACAAATATGAACTCAAAACACATCTGAAGATGTGTTTTGAAACTGGTGCACTGATTCAAAGAATTCAGTAAGCTTTAAGCAACTTTGAACCAGGTTAACACTCATTGTGGCTATATTTTGGGCTGATGTTATTTCTGTATAGAGCATCCTATCTGACAGTCATGTGTGATCATGCTATATGCTGGTATCAAACACATGGGAAACTGAAGACATGGGCAGTTTTGTGACATTTTACTGCTTAATATTAATTTACGTTCATTTGTCGTCATAATGAGCACTGAAATTCTCTGGTTTCAAGTTAAGCAGCATCCAAGAAGGAATTCCTAAATAATAGTTGACACCTTATGTCCATCTCAATAGGGTGTGTGCTAAAACCCAGTTATAAACACCCTGAGAGGAAGTGGGGAGAAATACCACCGTAATAATTTTTGTTAAACAGACATATTGAGGGGGGCGTACCGAGTGTTGGGGTGGCCACACGCACTTTCCAAGGCAAACTGGAGGGGAAGGCACTCATTTTGGGAGTCTGTGGATTTCAGTGAAGGCATTTCAGATCCAAGCTGCTGTAGTGCAGATGTGTGCCGGGGGGATTTTGCCCTGTGAATTCTACATTTCTCCCCTCCTGCTTGGAGAGAGAGCACTAATAGTGACATGTCCTTCGATATGGGACTTCCTGGGGATGATGAAGAGAGGAGAACGGCCACAAATGACCTGCTAAGCAGCTACACCAATCACTGCCACTTCATGGAAGCCAGGAGAACTGCTGATTTCCCCCATGCAGCCTCCCCCTGCCTCAGGTGAAGGGGCAGCCAACCTCAGTCATGCATTGATGACAGGCATGACCCCGTCCCCTCCTCCTGAGGGCAGTGGAGAAACTCCCTGACCCTGGTGAGATGGAGATCTGGCCATAGCCTTCTTAGTCCTGACTTAACCATCCTCATCTGCCCCGAGCAGCACAGGCGCTGCAGAGGGGTCCTGCTGGCACTTGCCTGTGTGTGTCCCAAGGCTGAAGAACGGTTGTTGGTGTTGAACCTGAGATGCGCTCCCATGGATGAACAATCAAGTACAAATACTTGCTTCCAGCTGTACAAGCATTTCCCTGAAATGGCAGCTCCTGGGTTAGCACTCCTCCCTCTCCTCCTCCTTCCCCACCTTATTGCCTGTGCTGCATGTCCAGTGTCCTTAGTGGCCACTGGCCTGTCGAGAAGCTCCCTCTCCAACTCCAGTGGCATCTTCTCATGCTATGGAAACACAGCCATCACTTCAAGGTTTGTGGGGCAGATGTGTTCAGATCCTCAAAAGCCATGAAGGCACCTAGCTCCCACTAGGCTTAATGGCGTTTCAGTGAGATGTTCACAGAGCCCATCAGAGATCTTGGCCGAACTCCTTCAAATTGCATCCCTAACCCAGAAGTAAGTTTTGTGACAAACTTGCAAGTGAGAAAAGTCCTGCTTTTCATCTTTCAGCAATTAATAGCTGATACACACCCGTTTTTAACTGAAGACAAATAACAGCATGGACAATTTACACTGGGAACCTTCTGAAGCATTACTTCGGTGTTGTCCCTTTCTGAGCACCCCATGATCACTTGCACCCTGGTGACAAAGCTGCAAAGGGCATTTCTGTCCCTGGACGCTGGTTGCGTGGGGACTCTTCATGCCTGTCCTGGGCCAAGGCGTGTGCATTGTCTGCACCATGAGCATAGACACACCTTCTCTGTGAGCTCAGGAAGGGATGAGGCTGTCCAGCACCTTGGCTGAAGAGAAAAGAAATGAGGGTTTGACTGCAGGCAGCGAGGGTGTGGGTGATGGCTCTGGAGCAGAGGTGCGCTGAGCTACAGCAGCTGTGGAGACAGCACCTGCTTGGTGACCAGGCTGGGCTGACATGAATCTAAATGAATAGTGAGGGAACAGCAGCTCCTGTCAACGGCATGTGGGTCCTTCACCCACTCTGCATACTGCCCTGCAAACACGTTTCTTTTATTTTTTTCCTCAGTGGCATGGCTTACATGATGTATGCTAATTCAGATAACATTGAGAAGACGAAATATGAGACTTTGGCAGATGTTAGGATGCTCAGGCCAGCAGTGCTTGCAATTGTGCTGGGGACTTAGGAAAGGCACGGTGGGTGTATTGCCCCTGAAGCATGCATGGATGCCGCTGGATGAAGTGATCCGAGGTGCTCAGACCTGGCTGGCCCTACGGTTTTCATCGGGACTCCCTGAGGGTGGCCCTCTGCCAGAGCCACTAGCTGGCCTTGGTGGTGGGCTCCATCCTGCTGGCCGGGGGTGCAGGCAGAGATGATGCAGGTGTGCGGGCAGTGTACAGGTCCTGGTTGGAGCTGCAGAGCAGAAACCCCAAACTCCCACCCTTGTACGTGCAAGGCAGGTGCTGACCACCTGACCCACCTCCCAAAATATGGCAGACGGGTTCACTTATATCTGCTGGAGCTGCTTCCCTGCAAGAAAGGCCAGTAAGGGTTGGCCCATCGAGTATGCATGCCATACTTCTGGAAAAGACACTTCTTGGCAGTACTTGCTGTTTTTGAGAATATTTCACCTGGGGTTTACAAACTGCTTTTCTCAGGAGGCTTGGACTTTCCATCCGTAGTCTTCACTGGGGGAATCCTCCTCCTCAGGGAGCATCTTTGAAAGGCACTGCTGGCAGAAGGTGGTCCTCTGGGGATGATGGAGAGTCATCTGCTGCTGACCTCTCCTCTGTGGCCCCTCCACGGCAGGAATGGAGGACCACTGCCCAGGGGGTCACTGGGTGAGGTGGAAGCTGGAAGCAAATGACCCCTTGGGGCTGCAAGGAGGGGAGACAGCAAGACCAGAACAGGGGTTTGGGGTGTCCTGCCTACCTTTTGCTCAGGCAGGATGCCCCTAACATCGCATATCATTACTAGACCCTTGCAGAAATTAGCCCCATAAAGTGCTTTAGGTAGTTTCAGCACTAAACTTTGTAATACGCTCGGCTAGAGGGAGGCTTTTCCAGTAGTATGCACTCCAGCAATAAATTCATCAAGTACAGGCTGAGAAATGAAATCTGAGAGATGGAGAGGGAAAACGCTGCTGTAAGGCTAAATCAACAGAGGCTGTGAGCAAGGATTATATGAACTGACTTGTTGAGGAAACCCTCAGTCAAACTCTGAGAGTGTGACCATAAAGAAGATGTAAAACACTGTGCGCATTGAGTTTGCTTAGCATCTGTGTCTGAAGGTTCAATTATGGAGGCATTATCATTAGGCAGCTCCACTGACTTGCAGAGCGCAGGATGTCTCAGGACCAGATCTGCAGACCAAAAACTTTGTTTGTTTGCTGTCAAAGCAGAAGGAATGTGCCAGGATCTGGGAGCACAGGGCCAGAGAGCGCATGTTGATTCAGAGGCACAGAGACATCTGAGCCGTGCTCTGATCCACGCTGGGACTGCCAGCAGCGGGGCAGCCTTGGTGCTTGAGGCACTTGGAAAGGAGACAGCAAGGGAAGAAACAGCGCCAGGAAAAGAAAGGAAAAAGAAGAAAAAGAAACAGGCTGAGAGGTGTTTTTTGGAAGAAAGTCTATCTGACCAGGAAGGAATGGTCACTGGAGCTCACAACAGCGGAGTGCTGGGGTACCCATCACCTCTCCTCGGCTCCCTGTGGCCAAGTCCTCTTGGTGCTGTGGTGCGATGGCAGCATGGTGGGCTTGCTGTGCCGGGTGCTGGCAGCCGCTGGCTGTTGATAAATGCTCTGCCATGCCCAGTCTTAACTGATGGGGTTGTGTTCCTTTTCTTATTTTCTTTAATTTACTTATTCTGCATGTCCTTCAGCACGGAGGAGAGAGGAAGCCGTGTTACGGTGTCACTTATTTCCAACCATGAGTACCCATAGCTTCAAAGAGCCGTGGTCTGTAGCAGAGTTAACTTATGTGGCTGCAGTTGGCAGCTACACGGCTGTGACCGAGTGTCCTTCCCGGTGCTGTGCACTTTCCTGCATGCGTGTGCCCATGCCCGTGCCATCAGGACACGTGAGGCCATGGCCACGACAGGTAGCACAGCATTAAGCTGACCCACCCTGTGACTCTGTCCCAGCAAGCAGCTGGGAAAACCTGCTTTTTCTTCTGGATTCACTGAGAAAATGACGTTAGAGGGACAACAGCTCTTGAGTAACGTGGCCTGCAGCCGCTCACCGAGCATGCAGGTGATGGTTGTACAGGCGTTGGCAGGCAGAGCCAGGTCGGGCGGCTTGCACCGACACAGGCGCTGAGCACACGTCCTGAGCTGCAGCCACCACTGCTCTGCGCCAGAGGCAGAGCGCTCGGTGGCAGTGCAAGGCTGGGGATGCCAGCCGGGGAGCTCTGTTGTGTCCCTCAGACCGAAACCCACTCCTGCCACAGGTACGCGTTACCGCAGCATGGGAAACAAAAAGATCCGAAAGGATCAAAACCAGTTAGCGTCGCTTTT